TGCAATAGAGTGAATAAGGAGTAAAAATGGTGCATGACATTCCATTGAATTAAGTAATGTCCTGCACAGATAACAACCTGCATTTGGGAGACTTCTTGTCGCGTAGTGCTGCTCACACCCAAATCACAGATCTGTGATGCCGACCTTTCATATCTATTCAGTTTCACTCAGCAGATACTCATTTAGCTTTTACAATGTGACATACGTGATCTTTTTGGTGCTACATTGTGCATATGTGGAAACAAGGAATCAAAGGGCCTGTTTGCTCTTCCACTAGTTAACTTGGACTAAATGAAACTGACCAAACATTTTGCAACATCCGGTGTTTGTTTGTTTTGGCTGCCGGAGCCATGTGAACAGTAATGAGGGTGATTTTACACTGATTCAGAACCAGAAATGTATAACATTAAAACATTACAAATCAAAAACAGATGAGCTGGCAGTGATTTTGTCCAGGGCAAGCCCCTGAGATTCATTTTGGGTTATTTCTGATTCCCACATGTCTGAGCAGCATTGTTGCCACTGACATATTAAGGAGATGTTGCCATATAGCTGATTCGATTTTTTTGTTTTGTTATGTGTAAATAGCACCGTTGGCTCTGTGTTTCAACATTACCCAGACAGACAGACAGCCTGAGCCAGCTGATTGTGGTTTGGGCTCCGTCTCTGTCTGTGTATTACTGCAGCGGGGCTCCCACCATATGCTGATGGTGCTGTGGGTCTGGCACACACACACATACAGTTCATAAATGAACGCACACGCACATGTAGACGCACACAAACAACAAAAATATGTCTGGAGAGTCTGGTGTACAGCAGCTCAGATGCCCTGCCCAGTCTGTGGAAGCAATTTAGACCACTAAACTATGTCGTAGTGGTACTTCTGCCATGGAGTTTAATTAGTGTATGTGTTGGCTTTGGGGAGTTTGCCGGCACTCAAAGCAGAAATAAGCAGAGGTGTAAGAAATACTCAGATCTTGTAGTTAAAGCTGGGTGATACATTTAAGAAACGTTTTTTTAATTTTCTATATTAGTTGAAATTCTCTTTACATCCCGACAGAAATCAATAAATCAAATATTCGGGCCGCCACAGGACTGTAATTAGCCTGCCAATCTATCTACCCGTCAGCAGAGTCTTCCAGATGCTGCTAACTAGACAGCTGTGAGTACTAACAGAAGCCATGTTTGTTGTTTACATTCCTGATGATCATTTTGGAGGAGTGGCTTTGGAGGGATTCTTGTGGGGACGGTGCTGTCAGTGTTGCAGACCTTCTCGTTAGATGTAGTAACTTTTGGAGCTATAGTGCTGCTAGATTTTTTTGGTTGGATAATTTTTTGAAATCTTTATTACTCAAAGAGCTTAAAGTAGAAGTAGTAAAAGTCATGCAATCAATGTTTTACTTAAGAAAAAGTACAATCAAAATATAATGAAAGTACCATAAGTACTTTGAAAGAATGGCCCATTAGATATTATATTACTGGATTGCAATCATTGATGCATTATCACTTTAATGTTGAAGCTGGTGAAGGTGGTGCTAATTTTAAACTACTTTAATTGCTGGGTATAGCTTGTGAATTTCCCCTATACTTCAACATAATTCATTTGTTGATTCTATTTTGTCTCATTAATGTAAATCTGCCAGGAATCTAGTAACTTAAGTATATTTAATAAATGTAGTGGAGTAGACGTATAATGTAATTAGAAATACTTCAGTAAAGTACAAGTATCTCAGAATCATGCTTAAGTAAAATTTTGTTACTTTCCATCTCTGGGAATTAGACTGTTGGACTGTCTCTTTCTAATGAGGCCTTACAGTAGTATATACATGACCAAACCACAAGTGAACACACCCTCATTCTACCAGGCTTTCTTCATCTCTGCTTCAGACCACAACACCCTCTGAGGTAGTTTATGAGAAATACAGATGTCTGGTTGACTGAAAATAAACAGAGGCAGTGCAGAGCCGAATTAGTCCTGCATACATATACCGTATCCCAGAAGATTCTTAATCAACCCTATTGCTGTGCAGCTGTACTCGAGACGAGAGCTCGACCTAGTTGCGCCTCATCATTGAGGAACATCTACCCATCAAAACATCCACAATCACGGCAAATATCCTCTCTTTCTCTCTGCCTTTCTCTGTGTTTATACTAGAGCTGTGCCTTTGAACAGCCCCATGGCTGTATCCCATTACCTCCAGAGGGATGAGCTGAGGGTTGGTTTGGTGAGCAAGAAAGCAGAGAAGGGCCCTGTGTATGATTCTAATCAATTCAGGGCTCCGACGTAGCAAACGCTCTCTAATAACTTCTGTAGAAGGATCCGACTTGAGAGAGAATGCAAACCAGATCGCTTAGGAAATTCCACAACGCTCTCTTTGCAGCAAAAGCCCCTCTTGTGAAGGAATGTGCTCTAACATTTCCCCTCAGCTCCCTGCTCTCCCACACACACACACACACACACAGCTGCCCTTCAGAGAGTCACGGCAAAAGAGCAGCACAGGCCGCTGGAATGGCAGAGAGGGAGCAGTCAGCTAATGGCTGCTCTTCCAGCTGCATGGGGTCTTACATATATAAACATGCCAGTGGTCGAGGCAAAGGAGGGAGCATGAATGGTGATGAAGAGAGGGAGATTAAGGGGAAAATAGGCATAAGTATAGCCATCAGTGGGACTGTAAAGAAGGAAAATACAGAGATAAGGAGAGGGAAGATCGATCTGGGCTGACAGATGTGTGAGGAGAAAATGATGGAATAATACAGAGAGAGAGCCTGGGCGGAAGGATCGGGGTGTTGGAGGAGGAGAAGAGGTAGAGACGTTAGACAATGATGGATTGTCCGAGCAGTTTGGCAGGACCATCTATCAGGTGAGGAATAGGTGGCGAAAAGAAAAGTTCAGATAAACATATGACTACCAACAACACCCTCTGAATTACAAAAGAGGCTGGGATGATGTCATATTCTTTGAAAATGATCCAAACTGATTTGGGAAGTTTGTTAAACTTTGTGTGACCTGCTGTTTGAAAGAGTAGAGCAGAGTAACTGCACCATTATGTAAAGTTAGCTTATGTCTAAAAGTAGATTAAGATGCTACTCTTAAACCCTGGCAGCCAGTCAAGAAACATGTTTTTTTTCCCACCGTATGACTCATGGAGTCTCCACTGTGGATCCAAGAACCCAGCGCCCACAGCCAGTCCTCGTCTCTCTGGAGGCCCTCGGGATTCAACGTGAAAGATTTTAAAAATCAGTGAAATATATCCAAATGTTTCTCTGCAGAAAACAATCTAGAGATCTAATAACTTCTAAGCCTCAGGCGCTATATGGTGAACCAGATGTTACTGACTTTTTACGGCACTTGTGGGATTTTTTGAGTAAATCACTGTTTGAAGATCAGAAATGATATTAGCGAGGATCATAATTTTATGATTAACGTCTCTGCAGAGAAGCCAAAAGTTGTGTATGATACACACATCCACACACATGGTTAAAAAAAGCTCTGAAGGGCCTTTATATCTGAAGTTTCTTGTTCTAAGTCTGTGTGTTTTATCATCAAAAAGCAGCCAGTGTCAACAAATTCTTGGTGGGTTTCGCAGAAACTTTGTCTATTTGGATTTCCCTGCCCGGTGTGCATGGCGGGAAAATGGGTCCAGAAAGGAAAAGGGGGGGAGGGCAGAGTGGGGCCCACTGGTCCCTCAACATCCCTGTGTTGAATATGAAAATATATTATACCATAATGTGTTCAGTATGTAAGCTTGAAGGAAACCATATGAAAAGATCCCAGACAAAGAGCCTTCTGTGTTCCAACTGACCCCCCCCCCCCCACCCTCATCCTTCGTCTGCTTCAATAGAGGGAGAGAGAGAGAGAGAGAGAGAGAGAGAGAGAGAGAGAGA